CTGGGCGGGCCAGTCCCCAGAAGACAGAGGCCCTCAGGAGCTACGTGCTGGGGGCCTGGCTCGCGATGACGCAGGACGCTGTGTCCCTCAGCTCCCATGTGGGGTCGCGGGGTCGGTGGCGGAGGAGCATTAGAACAGAAGCCACCGCAGATGTGCTCCCAGCTGTGCTCCCCGCCAGGTTATCAGCTCTTTCCCGAGGTGAAGGGACAACTGGCTGGAGAAATACGCAGTCGAGATGCCCGATGTCTTGCCTTGACGTCATGAGCCACTTTTCCGAATAGTTCTAAAGGAAAATAAATGTGCATAGGAGGCGGGGAAAGGAAACGAGTGTTGAAAATTGAATCCACACGACTAAGTATTAAGCTGTATTATTAAAATTGTCATTAGGTAGAAAAAAGCTTCAGACCTCTATCAAATTAAATTTTAAAAGAAGTCAAATATGAATACACAGGGAGTACAGTCTGGATCCCATATTTTTACAAAAATTAGGCACTGCTAGCAAACAATTTTGAGCACCCATAATGTGCCCAGCCCTGGACAAGGGACCGAGGGCTGTCACCTTCGAGTAAAAGCTGAGCTCCTGCCTTCTGGTGGCTTCCGAGTGGGCTGAAGACTCAGGGTGCACAAACTCGGACGCCCATGCCAAAGCGGGGGGGCCCGGCCAGGGCAGGACTTGGGGAGCAGAGGTGTGGAGAGAGCCCTGGGTCCGTCAGTGTGAGGTCAGGACAAGCAGGGTCAGGACGAGCCTGGGCCTGACGGAGCTGAGGGTCTGTTGGGAGAGATTTTCTGGAATCTTCCCTGGACAGCAGCGGGGCGTTGTCACCATGGATTTTTCCTGGCTTTTGTTCTGTGTGGAGGGCACAGCTGCCTGGGACAAGGACGAGAAGGCGGAGAAGTCTGTCACCAACATCCCGTGGAGCCTGTCACCAACATCCTGCGGTCGGGGAGGGAGCTGGCCCCCTTCTGTCCCATAGAAAGGCCTGGCCCAGTGTCCCAGGCCTCAAGCTGTTCATCTTTCTCCACGGGGACCCCCCTTGTCATCCCCCCGCCCTTGAACCTGATGTTTTCCACCATGAGGACAGTAACGGTAGTGTGACAGGTGTAAGATGGCATCTACGGGACACTGTGGGCACCCCCAAGACAGGGGAGTGGGCTCAGAGGGAATTCCTAGCGGGAATGACACCTGAGTGGAACCGGTACCCACACGTGCTGCGGGGTGGCAATGTGTAAACACAGCTCAGAATCAAAGCCGCATCTCCTCCGCGGACCGCGGGGGCCCTGCAGTGACTGATGGCCGCTGGGCCCCACTCACTCAATCAGTCTGAGGCCCTCCAAGGGGGCCTGGGAGGTGCCAGTGGTCTCTCAGGCCAGGGCAGAGCTGTTTGTGTATTTTTTCTCATTCGATTCTCACCTCTCATTAATGTTCTGTGACGGGTGTTTGACACCACGACTCAGGGGGAACACAGCCCCGTGGGTCTCATCCTCAGCGGGCGCACTGCGGTCCCTCAGGAAGCCTGTCTCCGGTTCCGGGGTGCGGGCGGCCGTGGCCCATCAGAGCGGGCCTTCGCTAACGAGAATACCCACTCTCCTCTCCTTTAGAAACGGTTCGCGGACCTCCTGCGGAGCTGGCACTGTCCTCCAGCGGCTGGTAGTTCCCGACTCCCCAGGCGGCCTGGGGTCCCCAGGGCGGAGAGGAACAAGGCCCAGGCGCCCGGCCCAGCACGGGGCCCCACGGGCAGCGCCC